ATGCTTATAAACTGATGGGTAAGGACAATTATATAAAAAATGATAAAATAAAGAAGCGTCTCAAATGTGATCTTTTTGGTTAAATTTTGCTTGTGTTTTTTTAATTACTTAGTATGGAAAAGGCTATCTTAGGGATTGCTTGTAGAGGCTTTTTTTAAGTCTGGGCTCCTTTCTATGTGACCAGTAATCTCCATCAAAACCATCTAATCTAGAACACAATAAAGAAGGACCCCTAATTTTTGTAGTTTATACTGAAGCTACACAAACAACAGTTCATGGAAATGGATCTGTTGGTACTCTTCTGTGAGTATTTACAGGGCAAAAGACCGGAGTTATAATACTCTTATTGTCATGCCTCTGAGGAGTACTGAAATGCTAGTGCTGCTAGGATATCCATCGCTAGAGGCCTATATAAACAAAACTAGACAAATTTCTGTCAGGAATAGCATTGCTATAGATCTGCCTTGGGTAGGGGAGAGACTAGGTGAGTTCTTAAGGTCGCTTCCAGTCTTTTCATTCCAGATGCTATAGGTGAAGTTTTGTAAACTTTAACCTGCACTTGAGAAATGCTTAACCTGAACATCACTATGCATTCAGCCACTGTTTATGAATCAAGAATTTTTGATTTGACTATTTTATCTGTTAAGTCTTGCCGAGACTATCCCAGATTCCTCTGCAGAATTTTTTTTTGTTGTTGTAGATACATGCTTGCTAGGATTCTCAGGTGGCTATTGGAGACGTACCTGGAGAAACAGTGTGACTGTTTCAGACCAGATATAAGATTGGACAACACAGTATTTTGGGGTTTTTTATATTTGTTACCTGGTTTCAGTATAGCCCATAATCGTTATTCCCCGAGTGACAGACAATATTTCAATTTTCCTCTGAGATGGTTAAGCTGGGAAAGAACCTTGTCTCTTAGCCTTAGCTCTCATGCATTTGGACTTTGGCAGGCAATATCTGATAGTACTTTTACTGGACTATAAGGATAGCAATATGATTGATGGCTAAAAAGACACAAGAAAAATAGGGATTTCTGTCACTGACCTTCCAGTGACATTGCTGGAAGAGTGATAAATCAAGCTGCCTGTGTAGACTATGTACTTAACTTATGTTATACTCTGTAGTGCCTTTGAGTAAATATTTCCAGACAGTTATGTGACAGGGAAATTATTTTACATTCTTCTCTTTTATGGGAAGGTCACTACTGTTAATTTTCTTATTATTGTAATGATAATCATTAAACATTTCTGTTTAACATTCTTATGTCTCTGTGTTTTTCCATCAGTTCACAGAGATACTCAGAACAGACTTATTCTGAGTTCTGCCTTCTTTCTTCAACTTGGTTATTATCCTGCTCGTTAAATGACGCAAGTGATTCAATTAGCGGTTGTCAGCCAGCTGGTAGTATATGTTTGTCACAAGTCCTGTAGCACTTATGAATCTTTCACCATTCCGTCCTACTTTGCTGGATGCAAATTTTTGCTTTTGCTGACCGGATCCTGTGTAACCATCTTTGAACCTAGTTCTTCCAGGCTAACGAAGGAGAATCCTAGAAGCATGCCAGGACCCCTTAGCTGGTGAGTGAGTTTGCCACTGTTCAAGTCAGCCAGTACATCTTGCTGGATGCAGTATTCCATACAAAAGAGGAGTCTTGAAATCACTCTTAGCGCTGGATAAGCTTTTAGTGTAAAGTAAAAGAATATGATTGCACTAAAATACAAAGCTTAAGAAATCAACTACTGTGTTTTGTGAAGATGCAGAATACTAGAGCATAGCTCAGCGCACAGTAATGCTGCTTTGGCTAGTTTCTGTCTTCTGCTGACCTGGTTGTCATGATAGTCATGCTACCTCCCAGGACAATTCATACAGGTCCTAGAGCTGTGATCTGGATTTTAGGGCTTTATGGTTCATGGTTTATCTCTTTTATGGTTTAGGGAGAGAGCTTCTCCTTATATCTTATTTTCTCAACTATGAATGTCAAAAATGATCAATCTTAGTATTTGGCCTTACCCTCACCAATCTCTTTCCTTTTTTGTGAGTAAAAATATTCTGCAAGCTTTTTAAGCTGTAGTATACATTTAATGATTTATAACACATACATTATATACCACATTTTACACAAAAAGGTAAAACAATAAATGCACTTATCTTGACAGAAAATTCTTAGTGTCTGAGGGTGAAAGAATAGGGCTATCATGGTTTTCTCTAGGTGTCTGTGCAATAAAATAGTGTAGAATATAAAGAACATTCTGCTAAGGCAAAGTTCCTGAAGCACTTATGTTTTCTCCAGGGACACGTTCCTATCCTAACTGCCACAATAAGAGGATTTTAGATATGTCTCTGCTCAAGTTCCCTCTGACATCCAGCCAGCACATCTGCCCAACATGTACTGACAGAGTATAACATTGATCATAGCAGCCATAACCACTTTCCTGTAAAATCATGATCTGAGGTGAAAAATTTGTTTTCATTTATATAAAAATGTCATCCACGAGGACCTCCCCTCATCCCTGTCCCTGCTTTTGGGACTGATTCTGTTGATGTGGGAGGTTGATTTTGATGATACTGTGCATAAACTCTTTAAGGCTCCTACCCAGAAAGAGAAGGAAGTTCAGTAGTAAACCAGAAAAACTGAGACTTTTCCACAATCTGGTTTTGTGAGAAGGAATATACCCTTGGGGAAACAACAGGAGAAATGGGGACAGGGGAAGAGGCAGACAGAATTGAATGGGCTGATAAATTTGCAAGTTAGAAGCAGTGAGTGGTAAGAGTAACAGTTTCTGTTGTGAATATGATGAGTATCATCAGCTAAGAATCAGGATTTTGAAACTGATTAGGAAGGCCAAGCATTCAGGAATAAGAGAGATCTGTTGAGTTCACTACTTAAAAGTCTTTATGGAGAAGTTAAGCTTAAAAAAATGAATAATCTGGGTTTTTTGCGGTGATGGTTTCCCTTTTGCGCTTAGCATAGAGAGAAGCAAAATTTAATTTTGGAAGCATGATCCTAAATGTCCATTAGTGCAGCTATAATAAACATTCATCTGTTTATTCCTTAAGCAGCATGTTTCCTAGAGCTATTCCTCTCATTCCTTACTCCACACTTTCTCATGTCAATCAAATTATCAGTAACAATAATCACAAATCCCATTAGGAACTAATTATATATATGCAACTTCAAGCTAGTTTACCTCTTTACTAACATAATCTCCAAGATTTTTAGCTGTAGTCAATCCAGCTTGCTGCTGGCTCTGTTAATTATGGTTACATGTCTTTACAAAGTCTTAAGACCTAGAACTCGTCTTAATGATATTCTACTGCTTCAGAAATAGGAAAGACCTATAAAATGGAGTAACTTTCTCTGTCTTCAGATCATTGAACTCTGTCCCCTACCCACTCCAAGAGCTCCACCATTCTCATTTTATATTTGCTCAGTTCCTGAGTGACACAGCGAGCTCCCCAGGTGATTTTGTTTTTCTTGCTTGAGTATGTACTGTAACTGCAGTTGAGAATGGAACCTTGCTGACAAAATATGGACAAAGATGACATGAAGAAGACTGGCGAGTGGGTCATCAGAAGGACATGGGATAGATACCTTTGAAAGCTGTTATGTGAACTCATTTCTTTCCCAAGAACGTGAAGGAAACAAGGTGTAATTCTTCCAGTGGAGACTGTGAAAAACAATGGCTTGCATGGATGTGGCGCACCTTGCAAGGAACTATGGTTTTGGACCGTACTGAAAAGAACAATCTATTTCAAATATTTCAGCAAAGTAGTTTTTATATGCTGTTAGAACTGAGATAAAAAATTATGTATGTATTGGTTCATTTCCATAGTAATCTGTGTAATTTTCTTTGTTTGTTATTTGCATGCATCTCTTCCCCAGACAGTGATGGGAATTAAGGGGAACATTTGCAGCCAACAAGGATGACAAATACTCTGTGAAGATATATCATACTGTAGTCTATGTTAAATTGAAGCTTGTGGAATCCAACTTGCTGACTTTTAAGTGTTTAATGAAAACAGAATCATTATCTCCTCTCTAGGCAGGTAGAGGACTCCTTTGGGATTTAAACACATGCATCAGGAGAAAAATAGGCCTGTGTGTTTCTGGAAAGTTCACACCCACAGGGTTACACTTTTTTTCTGCAGTTTGGATAGTTAAGAAAAAAATGCTGTTCTGAAAAATACAATGAGAGCTGTAGTCAGTTTTAAAAGGCAGCTTTCAAATGCTTGTTTCTGTGTTGCACTTTACTTGTGAAGCTATTAATTTAAAAAGCCTTCCTGAACCCC